TGTGATATTTTGTTTTGATGTTGTGTGTGTTTTGTTGATGATGCAAAAATTATGAGGAGGATTAAGACAGAGGCAGATACTATGAGGCTACAAGATGACCTAGACAGACCAATCCTGGAGTATGCGGCCCCAGCATGGAGCCCGTACCTTGTCAAGCATAAGACGAAGCTGGAAAAAGTTCAGAGGTATGCCACTAGACTAGTCCCAGAACTAAGAAGCATGAGTTACGAGGAAAGGCTGCGTGAACCGCACCTCACGTCCCTGGAAGACAGAAGAGTTCGGGGGAGACATGATCACCACATACAAAATTCCTAAGGGAACTGACAGGGTAGACAAGGGTGGATTATTTAACACGGGTGGTGCACGAACAAGAGGACACAGGTGAAAGCTGAGTACCGAAATGAGCCACAGAGACGTTAGAAAGAACTTTTTCAGTGTCAGAGTAGTTAGTAAATGGAATGAACTAGGAAGTGATGTGGTGGAGGCTGACTCCATACACATTTCAAATGTAGATATGATAGAGCCCAATAGACTCAGGAACCTGTACACCTGTTCATTGACAGTTGAGAGGCGGGACCAAAGAGCCAAAGCTCAACCCCCGCCAGCACAACTAGGTGAGTACACACACAGCCATACAATCCAAACCTTCTGCATAATAAAATGTTTAAATATACACACCAAAAATTCTCCTCGCGCGAGCAAACAGAAACGAGAAAGTCGGTTTAATACACCGTAAAATAGTTCAAGCGGCGACTCAACCAATCCGTCTAAAAAGCGACTTATTGTTAACAAATTATTGCGTCGTACCACTGCTAGGCTTAGGCTCGGCTACAAGTACCTTTACTAGGCTTAGGCTCGGCTACAAGTACCTTTACTAGGCTTAGGCTAGGCTACAAGTACCTTTACTAGGCTTAGGCTCGGCTACAAGTACCTTTACTAGGCTTAGGCTCGGCTACAAGTACCTCTGGGAGTTTGTAACATCTGCTGATGTAGATTTGACTAAGTGTAAACTCTGTCAGCAGATCTACTCCAATACTTAGCGTCATTATATAATGGAATGTGAAAAAATCGCGGAATTTAGAGATAACACCATCAATAGTGTCCATGAAATGTGTAAGTACTTCATTCATAATGATGTGCTGCCCGAAATCTTAGAGAAGAATCCAAAATTTGCTTACTGTAGGTAATGCATGCACATGACTGTAAAGCTGCCGCCCAGTTGGGTGGGTGTGGAGCTCATGACTGTAAAGCTGCCGCCCAGTTGGGTGGGTGTGGAGCACATGACTGTAAAGCTGCCGCCCAGTTAGGTGGGTGTGGAGCACATGACTGTAAAGCTGCCGCCCAGTTGGGTGGGTGTGGAGCACATGACTGTAAAGCTGCCGCCCAGTTGGGTGGGTGTGGAGCACATGACTGTAAAGCTGCCGCCCAGTTGGGTGGGTGTGGAGCAAGACTAGTAACTGTGTGACTCACCATAGATGTAAAGTGCCTTGTATAGTGACTGTTGTGAGCCTCTTGTTGAATCACTTGTGACACAAAGATTATTGATGTGTGTATTTGTGTGGGTGATTAAATATGTATGTGTATGTACATATGTATACGTATGTATATGTACATGTATGCATGAGTATGTGTACATGTATATATAACATTAAAAATTTTGTAACTAGCGTCAAAAGATTGTTATTTGCTTAGCTAAACGAACTAGAGGGTTCAGTTCCTGAACCGATTATGTGCCTCTGTAATCCTTTACACCTCCGCCCACGGGATGGGTATGGGGTGCATAATAAAGAAAGAAATTGAATTGAATTATAATAATGACGTATTTACTCTTACTCTAGACGTGTTTATTTTGGTGACTTGTTTCAATTCGCAACTTCCTTGTTAGGCAAAACGGTTGATTTGTTTACGTTTGTGGCTATATCTTGAGATGAGGTTATCTTGAGATGATTTCGGGGCTTTTTAGTGTCCCCGCGGCCCGGTCCTCGGCCAGGCCTTCACCCCCAGGAAGCAGCCCGTGACAGCTGACTAACACCCAGGTACCTATTTTACTGCTAGGTAACAGGCTAGGCTAAACCTATTTTTTTTAAGGATGTACGCACCATAAAATTGACTGTCTACACCGTTTAAAAAAACACCGCTAAATACCTACACCGCTAAAAATATACCCCGTTTACCTAGCAGTAAATAGGTACCTGGGAGTTAGTCAGTTGTCACGGGCTGCTTCCTGGGGGTGGAGGCCTGGTCGAGGACCGGGCCGCGAGGCCCCGAAAATCATCTCAAGATAACCTCAAGAAGATCAAGAGACAGCCACTCACTGTAGACAGGACCATAAGTGACAGTCACTCACATTAAACAGGACCACAAGAAACAGCCACTCACATTAAACAGGACCACAAGAAACAGTCACTCACTGTAGACAGGACCATAAGTGACAGTCACTCACATTAAACAGGACCACAAGAAACAGTCACTCACATTAAACAGGACCACAAGAAACAGTCACTCACATTAAACAGGACCACAAGAAACAGTCACTCACATTAAACAGGACCATAAGTGACAGTCACTCACATTAAACAGGACCACAAGAAACAGTCACTCACATTAAACAGGACCACAAGAAACAGTCACTTACATTAAACAGGACCACAAGAAACAGCCACTCACATTAAACAGGACCACAAGAAACAGCCACTCACTGTAAACAGGACCACAAGAAACAGCCACTCGCTGTAGACAGGACCACAAGAAACAGCCACTCGCTGTAGACAGGACCACAAGAAACAGCCACTCACTGTAAACAGGACCACAAGAAACAGTCACTCACTGTAGACAGGACCACAAGAAACAGTCACTCACATTAAACAGGACCACAAGAAACAGCCACTCGCTGTAGACAGGACCACAAGAAACAGCCACTCACTGTAGACAGGACCACAAGAAACAGCCACTCGCTGTAAACAGGACCACAAGAAACAGTCACTCACATTAAACAGGACCACAAGAAACAGCCACTCGCTGTAGACAGGACCACAAGAAACAGCCACTCACTGTAAACAGGACCACAAGAAACAGTCACTCACTGTAGACAGGACCACAAGAAACAGTCACTCACATTAAACAGGACCACAAGAAACAGTCACTCACATTAAACAGGACCACAAGAAACAGCCACTCACTGTAGACAGGACCACAAGAAACAGTCACTCACATTAAACAGGACCACAAGAAACAGTCACTCACATTAAACAGGACCACAAGAAACAGTCACTCACATTAAACAGGACCACAAGAAACAGTCACTCACATTAAACAGGACCACAAGAAACAGCCACTCACATTAAACAGGACCACAAGAAACAGTCACTCACTGTAAACAGGACCACAAGAAACAGTCACTCGCTGTAGACAGGACCACAAGAAACAGCCACTCACATTAAACAGGACCACAAGAAACAGCCACTCACTGTAAACAGGACCACAAGAAACAGCCACTCGCTGTAGACAGGACCACAAGAAACAGCCACTCACATTAAACAGGACCACAAGAAACAGCCACTCACTGTAAACAGGACCACAAGAAACAGTCACTCGCTGTAGACAGGACCACAAGAAACAGCCACTCACATTAAACAGGACCACAAGAAACAGCCACTCACTGTAAACAGGACCACAAGAAACAGCCACTCACTGTAAACAGGACCACAAGAAACAGTCACTCGCTGTAAACAGGACCACAAGAAACAGCCACTCACTGTAGACAGGACCACAAGAAACAGCCACTCACTGTAAACAGGACCACAAGAAACAGTCACTCGCTGTAGACAGGACCACAAGAAACAGCCACTCGCTGTAGACAGGACCACAAGAAACAGCCACTCACTGTAGACAGGACCACAAGAAACAGCCACTCACTGTAGACAGGACCACAAGAAACAGCCACTCACTGTAGACAGGACCACAAGAAACAGCCACTCACTGTAGACAGGACCACAAGAAACAGCCACTCACTGTAGACAGGACCACAAGAAACAGCCACTCGCTGTAGACAGGACCACTGGACGACTTTAATCAACTTTCTATGAGAGTGATGACTTGCGAGTCCCTGCGAGTGACCTTAAATGTTGCTCCTGGTTAATATAGTGACCTTACATGGGACCTCCTAGCAGCTACTGTGACCTACATGTTCTCCTAGCTGGTATAGTGACATTACTTGGCCCTCCTAGCAGCTACTGTGACCTACATGTTCTCCTAGCTGGTATAGTGACCTTACATGGGACCTCCTAGCAGCTACTGTGACCTACATGTTCTCCTAGCTGGTATAGTGACATTACTTGGCCCTCCTAGCAGCTACTGTGACCTACATGTTCTCCTAGCTGGTATAGTGACATTACTTGGCCCTCCTGGCTGGTATAATGACCTATATGCTCCTCCTAGCTGGTATAGTGACATTACTTGGCCCTCCTTGCTGGTATAATGACCTATATGCTCCTCCTAGCTGGTATAGTGACATTACTTGGCCCTCCTGGCAGATACAATGACCTCTATGCTCCTCCTAGCTGGTATAGTGACATTATTGGCCCTCCTGGCAGATACAATGACCTATATGCTCCTCCTAGCTGGTATAGTGACATTATTGGCCCTCCTGGCATATACAATGACCTATATGCTCCTCCTAGCTGGTATAGTGACATTATTGGCCCTCCTGGAATATACAATGACCTATATGCTCCTCCTAGTTGGTATAGTGACAATACTTGGCCCCTCTTAGCTGGTATAGTGACATTACTTACATTCGTAGCTTACAAAATCATTTATTTATTATTTTTAATACCGTCCGAAGACATTTTCTCCAAATTTTATATAGTTTTAGTCAAAACTTTTGTTTTCGTTAAAAGGGAGACAATTTTTGTTTTAATATCGACGGCCACAGCAGGGATGAGGCTTCTCATTTCCTGTGGTCCCTGTAAGGTCAAATCACTGGTACCAGCCGAACTTACATAGCTTCTGTGATGAAGGGTCAGAGTTAGCAGGAAAGCTAAGCTTACTCAGCTCATCTTGTCGCAT